CGAGGGGACGCGGGGGTCGAGCGCGGAGGCCGGGGCGGCCGGGCGCAGCTCGGACTCACCTCCGGGTGGAAGGCGGCGGCGCAGGAGTCGGAGTCCATGTTCGGGCGGAGGACGGAGGCTGCGGGAGTACAGGGGCCGGGATGGGGCGCGGGGCCCCTCCGGACCGGGGCTTCGGCGGCCGCGCGGGGCGAGGGCGGACCCGGGAGGGGTCGCCTCAGCGTGAGGTGACGAGGGACTCGGTTGGTCGCGTGTGGCGCTCGGTGCTCCGGACCTGGCGGCTCTACAGCCGAGCAGAGTGAGCGATGCAGCTCTCGCGGCCGGCGCGGTGGAGAGGCGGGAGAGGCTCTGCGGGAGGCGGTGGCGGCGGCGAGCGGGAACCCGACCGGCTCCCCGACCTGACGCCCAGTTCGGCTCGTGTCTCGGGAGGGAGGGCGGGAGTGCCGCGAGCGCTGTCGGGAAATGTAGTTCAGGACGCCTGGCCCCCGCGGTGAGGGGCGTGGCGTAGCCGGCGCGGAGGATTCTGGGAGTTGTAGTCCCAGGCCCAGTCCAGCGGCGCACAGAAACAGCCACAGGACTCCGAGCCCCATGGGGCTTTGCGGCAGCCGCGGGGGCGGGGCGGGGCCTCGTGGACGCGCGACCGCCGAGCGGGGGAGGTGCGGGGGCTCGCGTCAGCTCGGCCGTGGGGGGAGGGGCGGTGCCTCAGCTTTGGCGCGCGTGGGGGCGGTGAGGCGCGGGGTGGGGTCTCGGGGGGCGGCGGCTGCTGCCTCTTTTTTGCTGCGCTGCTTGGGGTGCGCCTTTGTGGCGCTGGGGTCCCGGCAGCGCGGGGGAGATGGGGGTCCAGTTGCTGAAGTCCCGAGGGCGGAGCGCGCTGGTTCGCCTCCGCGGGTGCTCTGCCGGGTCCCCTGCTGGAGCGAGGTGGACGCCGCGAAAGCCCGGAGGGCCCCTGCCTGCCTGCTCGGCCCCTTGGGCGTGTGTGGCGCTGGGGAACGAGCCGGGGCCCTCGCTCTGACCTGGCTGCCCAGCTCTTTGTGGGTTTTTTTGAGACAGGGTCTGGCTAACTCACTAGATCGCCTGGCTGGGCTCACACTTGATCCTCCTGCCTCAGCCTCCTACTGTGGGGATTACAGGCGTCCTCCACCACGTTGGCGCCGTCAAGCTGCCCGCCCGTGCTGGCTCGTGTCCCCCCTGGCGACCCGGGCCGCCGTGGGTTCCGCTGCGCGTCCTGCGGCTGCGCCCCCGGAGTCCGCGGACCGGGTGGCCACGGTGGGTACCGGCGTCGCCCGCGCTGCGTAGGTGGAGCGGGCGGTGCTGCGGGGCGGACCGCGGAGGGCTTTGCAACTCCGGAGGGTGAAGATTGCTGGTTAGTCACTGCCGAGACGAGTGGCCTAGAGAGGCCTGGCGTTCCCCCTGCAGTCCTGTGGAAGGGAAAGTGACTGCACGGAACCCAGTCGGTTTCCGTCTCACAAACCAAGCAGATTATTCAACAGCGTCATGCTTGGTAGCTTCAGCGACAGAGAAACCTGAAAGGGACCCACCAGCGTTTGTAAATGCAGATCTGAAGCTGGACTCTTCAGCGTGCTGGAAGCCATGGGACTGGGAGGGAGTTCGGGGCAGGCCAGTCGCCGCCGAGGCTAGTTCGGTGCTTAAAATGACTCAGATGGAAACTGTTGTGATTAAGGAACTGGGTTTATCTTAGAAATGCTTCTCAAGGCAGGCACCGCGGTTGGGGCATGCCTGTGGTCCAACACTCTGGGAGGCTGAGGCGGGAGGATCGAAAGTTCCAGCCCAGCCTGGGCACTTTCTCGACTTACTTGGAGTCCCTGTCTCAAAACGTAAAAGGTGAGTCGGGGGCTGGGGTTGTAGCCCAGGACAATAAAATTTATAGCATAATGCTTGGCTCAATAAATAGTTGTTTTATTATTTGTGCCATATCAAAACCCACCAGATGGCTCCCCCGAGGTGATAAATTGAGGTGCTGTATGAGATAATAGGCAGATAAAACAACTAAGATAAAAACAGAGTGTGGCCTCAGCCTGTCTGGATTTCATGAGCAACTTCTGTGACTTAACCAAAAAATTAGAATGTTATCTGATGCTTGTGGCCTGGGCAGCAGTCCTGACATTACCTAGATGCCCATGTCCAGGCTCTTCCTAAGCAAATTGTTTAGATTGAGTTTTAAAAAGGGCTTTGAAACCTGGCACGGTAGTGCATACCTCATAATCTCATTACTTGGGAGGCTGAGGCAGGAGGAGCCCCTAAAATTCAAGGCCAGCCTGGGTTACATAGTGAGTGCAAGATCAGCCGAAACTATATATTGTGACCTGTCTCAAAAAGCCAAAATAAAAACAACCCAAAAGGAGACAGTAGCTTAGTGGTACCGGACTTGCTCTGGGCTTGAACCCCAGCACCAGAAAAAAATAAAATTCAAACTCCTACATAAAGTATAATAGTATTCAATAATTTTTGTTTTATTTTGCAACACTGAAGATTGAACCTGGGGTCTCACACATCTGTCTTCAAGAGACAGTAATTTGCCCAGCATGGTGGTGCACACCTGTAATCCCAGTACCGGAGAGGCTGAGGCAGGAGGATCACTGTGAGTTGGGAGGCCAGCCTGGGCTACACAACCAAGTTCATGGCCAGCCTGAACTACATAGCAAGACCTTGTCTCAAAAAAATAAATAAGTTCTTAGTACTTGGATATGACCTATACTGAGTGTTATTTTTTGTTCCTGGCGCAACAGTAATGGGGAAGAGCCTTTAAAAATTTTCTTTCTTGTGGATATTTGTTTTTGGAATACTGGAGATTGAACCCAGGACCTTTACTCTGAGCTACACCCAGCCCTTTTTATTTTCTTATTTTAAACTAGAGTCTAAAATTTCATGCTGGGATCAAACTGGGAATCCTCCTGCCTCAACCTCCCAGAGAGCTGAGATTTTTAAGTGTCCAGCAGAAAAGGCCTTTGTTGTCTTACTTTCAACTTCCCCTAGAAATTTAAGCCCTTTGGAAGAACCGTGGACATTATTATGATTGAAACACATAGAGGAGCCGGGCGTGGTGGTGCATGCCTGTAATCCCAGCACTTGGGAGGCTGAGGCAGGAGGATCCTTGCAAGTT